TATACGTAATATTCCGTCAGATGCATCGATTCAATTGTCTGCTGCAAATCAATACAACTCGGCCAGTCTCTAATGCGTAAATAATTCTAATCTCTTAACATCAATTCAACTGCGTAGTGCCAAAGATATGTCGTAATCAATTGGCCAAGTGGCTGGGGCGGACGAAGAGACAAAGATGATCAAAACTTTTGGCGTTTCACGTTTATCACGCAACATTTGATACCACTGCCTACAACTTGAGCGAATTGTGTCTGTGTGTGTCAGTTTGCTTATGTATTATTCATCCTTAGGGCGGGGCTAATGCTCACAGAGAAGAAACAAAAAACAGCAAAAGATGCCATATTTATAAATAACTGTAAACCAATGAGAAAGTGAAATTTTTTCTTATAATCTTAACGATTTATTTTATGCCTCACCTACGGTCATACACACACACACACACGCACATGTGTATATGTGCTTTGGGTCTGGCCTGCATGAATAACTGAATGGACACCTTTTTGGTTTCGGAGCGAGTGTGAGTGCCTTGATTGTGGTGTGTTGTCGGTTGATTTATCAAATGGCATAAATCGAACCAAAAACGGATATAAAACAGCTAACAGCCAGAGCGGTCCAAAGTCGAGCAGCGGTCCCAGCACTTTCTTTCGACTCGTTTGGCCGGCTGCATGGCCACAGTTGTGGTAGAAATTCAAAAATTAAGCGACACGGCCAAGCGAATGCAGCAGCCAGCAAACACCGCCACACAGCAACGAAAACAACTCAAAATCAAAACAAATATATAGCCGCAGTCACAGTCGAACGCCTCGATTCCTACTCTGATTCCCAGCCAGAGCTCGAATCAGATATGAGCTGCGACGTGGAGCGCGTGCTGCCAAATGGTTAAGCTAAATGATTGGATGGGTGGAGGGGTGGAGGGGCTGAGGCAAAGGCGGGCGAAACCACAATTTGAATTTAATTAATTGTCAGGTGGGTTGGGCACAAATCATTTCTTGAATGAATGAATGAATCTTTGCTTGCGCTGCCCGCATCGCCCGCCGTGCCTTATCGGCGCATCGGTTGGAATTGAAGGCGATTAATGCGATTCTCGATTGCAGAGAAAGGCGTGACCCACATTAGATGCTGTTTAAGCCCTAAATAACAGCTTCTAATTGAGATATTTAGTGTTGCTCTAAATCACACACTCAATCATCGGCCCTGAGTCTGAGAGGCTCGACAACTTTCATGTTGCGATCGAGCCAATCAGCGACAAAAACTGAGCATAAAATTGACTTTTATGCCTTATTTTCTAGCTGAACTGAAACACACAAACTGCGACAGCGGCTGCGACTGCGACTGTGACTGCGAAAGTCTAATATCATTATGGGACATAAGATATAATAACAAAAGAAAACACAACAATAGCAACAACTCCAAAGCTGGCAATGACGACCGAAAGCTATGTAGAAGAAAAATAATCGTAAAAGTGAGAGTTTCCACTTCATAATCATTTCTTTCGAGTTTCAGATTCGACTCTGTTTTTTTCCTCCAAATACCCTACACTCAGAGAGTGCATGTCAGAGGGTATTATACAATATATAGGTGATGAGAAATATTTCCAGTGATGAGTATTTATAACATTCTTAAATTGCAACTGTTTTAGTTTCAAAAAGTTACAGGGTATCAGTAGTCGTATAGGTTTTTGTTGAAATATATATTCGCTTCATTAACGTCTTATTCATTCCTTCAGTATTCATCTTCCTCTATCTCTCTCTCTCTCTCTCTCTCTCTTATCTATATTATAGAGTTAAAAGTAACTAATGCCGCTTAAATCTTTACTTGTTTTACTCTAGAGCATCTTCAAGCCGCTTATCTACCATTATATATATCAACTATCATCTGCTTGTCACTCATCATTCCCTATACTCTAGCGTATCTACTAACCAATACTTTTACTAATTATTCCGCCTTTAGCACTGTCTAATTTGCATTAAAGAGTATCTACTATTCGCATATGTCGCTTGGCCTAGTCGCATTTGGAAATTTTATGAAAACTTCAAGCGACCCCGCACAGAAATGCAAATCTCTGACGCCCTATTGTGCAGCCACGCCCACATTGTGTAATGCCAACTGGGCTGCGAAATGAAGAAGCGAAAGCCAACGAACAGAAAAAAACGAAGAAAAAAGGTAGTGGGCAAGCAGCTGGGCGTGGCAGCTGGCCGCTCTGCTTTTAATTGCACAGGTTTCACTTTCAAGGCATTTCATTTCATTAAAAAAATTGTCGTTATCTTTATGATCAGCATTCACACACACGCACGTACACACACACGCACACGCACACTCACACACACGCGGACATATCAAATATGGCATTTCACTTTCGATTTGATGTTAACAAAGTTGCGTTTGTTCTTTTGTTGGCCAAATGAGCCGCTTGCTCAGCGGGCTCTTTTGTGGTTCGCTCAAAACAGCTGGACAGTTAGGTGAACGTTATGCTCATTGTCATTGTCAACGACATTATGATCAGTGCGATCATTATGATCAATCCCGCTGATCAGGGTTGATCATTAGCGGCTATATACGTTCGTTTATGCGTTTTGTACATTCGTTAATTTGTTGACAATAAAAGTGCCAAACTGACAACTTTCACACATCTATAGACGCACAACGAACTCTGTGCTTGTGAGTGTGCGTGCGGGTGTGTGTGTGCGTGGATGTAGAGTGCTGTCAGAGCAACTGCTCTTTACACTAGACTACGCACTATTTGTATTTGTACAATTATTGAATTATTGCTGCTCGTATTATTCAATGTCAGCTTGAGCATATTCAATTAATGCTGGCTGGCCAATAGTCGTCGCATATTGCAACACTTTCACACACGCTGCCGTTGCCGCTGCACCACCTGGGCTACCTGTGCAGTGAAATGGCCAGCATTTCAAAGCCAAATCCGTAAAGTGTGCATTGACCCATGCCCAAGCGCTAACCGCAAACCGGAAAAGCGCACGGGGCAGCGAGCAATAGCAGCAGCAACAGCAGCAACAACACCCAACAGCAACTCCATAGCAACCACAACAGCAACTGTAGCACCACTCTTTGGCTGTGGTTTATTACTGCCTTTGTGCAGTTGTTTAGACCATAAAAGGCCATAACAAAGTCGCACGTGCAACGCATTCCAAATGTTAAGCCTCAAACCATTTTTTTTTTTTTTTTTTTTTGGTCTAAAGCTTTTTAGCCTAACCACAACAACAGCTGCAGCTGAAGTGGTGCCATCCACGACCTGAACCGCAGACCCAATCCACCACATAAAAACTAGTTAACAGCGGTTATTGTGGTGCGACTGTTCACGCAGACCCCCACAAATCGTGGTCTACTTTTCAGCTGGCTCCAAAGCTGTACCTGGAGAAAGTCGCACTCAGCTGTGCTTTAAATATTTGCTGAGCTTTAAGCTGCGTCTTTGCTAATCCGCTCTTTGAGTTGTGTGCTTTAAGGCGCAACTCGAAAATTCGCAGCTTCTGTGTATGCTTTAATGTGAAAGTTGTGGCTGTACGTGATGCGCGCCTGAGGTTTGACCAGGATATTTGCAAACAGTCAATTTATAAAGAAGAGCATATTTATTGTTGTGTATATGTGTACAAGGAAAAATTCTGCTAACCAGGAGTGCCCAGAGCCCTGAGAAGAAATGATATTCCAATCATTATGTCGTTCTTGCATGCATACCTGAAAGTTACTAAGATGCCATATGTATACTTTATTAAGAAGTTATAAAATTTCAATTTCACTTTATAAAAAATAGTGAGAATACTCTCGTTTATTATCTTATGGTTGCGTATAAACTTAAATAGCTAGATCAACTCAGCTCATTGTTATGCTCGAGTAAATGTGTAAGAACTTTATGAGGTTTGCCACGGGTTTTTTGGCCTGTTGCATATGTTTTCACACAACTAGTATACCCTGAATTCCCAATGACTGAAGGGTTTATAAATAATATTATATCAAGTTGTTTTAGTTTTCACAGCCTCACATAAACATGATTATTTTACAGCTAATGTCAAGACTTTTCCTTCATTCGGTCCTAAGTAAAATGGGCAAAGCAGTTATGCATGTTAATGTAAATAGAGCTCTTCTACTCTTATAACGGAAAAAAAATATAATGGAAAAAATAACAGAATGCTCGAAAAATAATATTATTATTATTTATATAGCAAGCATTATTATATGTCTAGAATTTTCCAAATTTTTTTTTTTTATTCAAACCATTTTCAATTTTTCAGAAATTTGAGTTCAAAATATGATTTCAGTTCATTTGTCTACACTTTCACTTTCGATTGCCTCAGCAGCTGGAGCAGACGTCGAACACTCTAGAATGACTCTGTGGCCGGATGACGCTGACAATGGTAAATGACGCCGTTAACCTGGCCCACAATGTCAATCGATTTGAGGCGTGGCATTGGCAGCACAAATTTCACTCGAGCAAAGTCACGCAGTTAACTGGCAGAAACAGCGCGACAAACGGCAGCAGAAAATTGTAAAAAAAAAATAATGTTAAATGCTAAGCAAATATAACAGCGATAAAATGGCCCAAATGATCGGCCAAAGTCAGAGAGAGAGAGAGAGAGAGAGAGAGAGAGAGAGAGAGAGAGAGAGAGAGAGAGAGGAAAAAAAAGAACTGCTAAATGCTCAAAAAAGCAGACGCAGAGACGGCGTCACATTAATTGCCGGCATTTGTCAGAAGAAAGCCAAGTTAAGAGGCGACGCTCGGTAAACGGCACGTAAATCAGCCGTTGAGGGCAATGGCAAACGCACAGCATCAGCGTTTAGAGATCAGCCATCAGCCATCAACCATCAGCCATCAGCCATCAGCCATGGGCCAAGTGCGCAGTGTCTTAACTGGGTCATATTCATAAGTAAAGCGCCCAGCTGTAATGGCAGCAGCAGTTGGCCCTAACTGTCGCCTTGGCCAGTTGCAGTTAACCAAAGTTGTTCGAACCGCTGGAAGCTTCTTCACTTACAATTTTCATGTTTTTTTTTTTTTTCTCTCTTTGTATTTTGGGAACTTTCTTCAAATTGTTGTTTAGCAGCGAACAACAATGCCCAGGCGAGAATATAAAAGACCGACAGGTGCAAAATGTGCGTCTATTGTTATGGCCATTATTGTTGTTGCATTGTGGCTGCCCCCGTTCAGCAAGCGCCTATTGAATGAGTCCCCAAAATGTTTGTTTTATTTTTTAGCAAATTGCTTTGTTGTATTCTGGCAACGAGTTAGACAGAGCTAGCTAGAGGTAGAGACGGCGAGATGGCCGAGGAAAGTGCAATGGAAATGAAGATCTACAAATATATACATATACATATCTCTATATATATGTTTGAGTGGGTGAAATTTGTAGAAAGCATCTTTGTTGGTTTTTGGGACTGATAACAAAGAACGAAATGGCATCAAATGGAACGAAATGAAATGAAATGAAATGAAAGTGGAGGGCCAAGAAAATGCAAATTGTGCGCAGACAATGCTGCGTATGAGTGATGCCTGCAATTTAAATAGAATGGGCGAAAAGTCGGGGCATTGTGAAATGAAAGATTGTTTCCAGTTTGTTGATATTTTTCGGAATTATTATTTGATTCTTTGATGTAGCAGCATTTGTTAAAATTTTCCGTTTCGGTAAGAGCAGGAAAACACAGATTGAGTATGAGATACAGATACAGATAGATAGAGAGAGATAGACAGATAGATACAGATTGATAGAGAGATAGATGGATAGATAGAGAGATAGATAGATAGATAGATAGAGAGAGATAAGTTGATGATAGATAGCAAACAGTGACAGTTAGCTTAGGCGACTTTGATTTTGATTTATGGGCGCGACTAGTTCAAAGCATTTTGTGCACATAAATCAAAGCGCAGCCGTGGAAATACAGTTAAGATAGTATGAAATAGTGTCTTGAGTGCAGAGTGAAATTAGGTTGGGCTGTGTAGAAGTGTAGAAGTTGGGTGTTGGCTTTCGTTGTTGGTTTATCGTTGTTGACTGCGTGTAAAGATGAAAAGTGAAGTTGAATGGTGTTGTTGTTGTTGTTTTGTAGTTGTTGTTATGTGTGTGGAATTGATTGTTGTGGATGTTCGACGTCTCTCGGCTCTGAGAGACTACAATTGGAAGGCACTTAATTGGTTGAGGACCACGCGGGCCCCGCTCTCGTTCACGTTGATTTTTTAGGTAAATAAATTAAAATAAATAATTTATAAATAAATATAAATATAAACATTAATGGTCATCGTTTTGTGTTTTGTGTAGTTTCGTTAGCGAATTTTCCATCTGGTGACCATCGTTTATTTACCGCCTGGCCTGCTTGTAGCCCTGGTAGGCAATGGTCTGGGCAACGGGTGCGCTGTAGGCACCGTGCGAGTCCCAGCCGGAGTTGCCCGAGGACCAGCCACCGCTGGCAGCACCACCGCCCGAGGACCAGCCACCGGAGCTGACAGCGGCAGAGCCGGCGTTCTTGCCACCGAAGAGACCACCCAGACCGCCGAGCAGACCACCGCCGCTGCCGCCAGAGCCGCCCAGGCGACCTAGACCGCTGGAGGCGCCAGCAGCCAGAGCGAGGAAGAAGGCGATAACGGACACAATCAGAGCCTTCTTGGCCATGAAGAGCAGACCAAAGATGGCGCCAACGGCGAGCACGGCAACCTTAGCACCAACACCCAGGAGGATGGGCAGGAACTTCTTCAGGAGCTTCTTCTTGCGGGTACGCGACTCAACAACCAGCTCACGGAGATCGGCCTTGATGTCATCGGGAATGGCGCGGGCAACGCTGCGGGCGGCATTGGCGAAGTTGAAGTTCAGAGAGCGCTCCGCCAAGAAGCTCTTGGCATTGTCCATGAAGTAGTTGCCCATTTCGGCGGTGCGTGCCTCTACAGTGGGTGCGGCCTCAACGGCAAGAGAGTTGTCCAACGATTTGCCCTGGCGTCCATCGTTGGCCTTGACCAGAGAGACGCCGCCGAAGAGTTCGATTTGGGGACTTTCGAAGATGGACTTGGCCTTGCGGTAGAGCTGCAGAGAGAAAGAGAGACACGTGGAGAGAGGGGGAAGCACAAATTAGCGAAGTTCGATCAATTGGTTCACAAGCTACAACTAAATATTTGATAATTATTAACAATTATTGTTCATATTCCAAATGATTGTGATTGTGGTGCACTTTCACTTCTGCCAGGGCGTCCTTTGCACTTATATAACAAGTATATGTATATATAGATGTTCATATGGTTTGTCTTTAGAAGACTTTCACTTGCAGGTTCATTTATCGATCTTGCTGATGAGATCATTTGCACTTTCACTTTAATTGATGATTATGATGATTATGTTGTTATGTTGTGGTTCAAGTTCTTGTGTAATATGTTTAATCCTTGTTAGTTAATCCGTACCGTGAGCTGCAGACACGAGATGGAATCAGCTTCCAGGCACTTTGCAAATGCGCCGGGCTGTTCATCGGTGGCGGCTGCCGCCTTAACAGGATCGGCCGAGATGCCGGACGCCAAAAGCAGGACACAAGCGGTGGCAACGAAGAACTTCATGGTTGTATATGATTTGTTTTGAACTAAACTGAATTTCTTAAGCACCACCGAATTCACTGGTGTGTTCATTCGAATGGAACAAGCTGCGGTTTGATAACTTTTCGACTCAGTCAGGCTGTTTTTAAAGAGTTTTCAACCTAACGGACGCCTCGACGCGGCATAACGTAAAATTATGTAAAAAGTGCACAAACACACACACACATACACACAGAGACAGAGCCGGCCAGAAGAGAGCGACCCAGCATTGGGCCCAGGCAGCGACGTCGACAGCGCGTACACAAATATGTATAAGAGGGCCCCATTGCCGCTCCCTACACGTGCGGGATGCGAGAGAGAGAGAGTGAGAGTGACAGAGAGAGAGAGAGAGAGGGCAGCAACAGCATCTCTGCTCTTAGAAGACACATTAGGTGAGCAGCGACGCCGACGCTAAATGCTCACGCGCTTTTGTTAGCTGTTGTTGCTGTTGCTGTTGCTGCCTCTGCTTCCGCATTAAAGAAAGTCAACAGCAGCGACGGCGACGCTGCGGCAACCGCGACTGCGCAAGGGCTTGACGCAGCGGCGCCGGCGCAGAATGTGAGCGCGCGAGAAAGTTTCGTCCGTAAGCAGGCAGAAGAGCGAAATGTGAGCAAGCCCCAAGGTTGTCTGCCGTTGGCCCGCGCTGCTTGGGCTGCCTCGCTCACGCACACAGACAGAGGCTAGCATGCATACGATTTGCTGCAGCCTCCGTAGCTTCTCACTCTCTCACACGTACACACGCACACACACGCTCACATACGTAGGCAGAGAGTGTGCTGCTGGCTGTAGCATTCTTCGTTGAGTTATTGTTATTGTTATTGCTCTTCGCGTAAACTGTTGTTGTTTCTGTTAGTGGAGTTAAAGCTACACAGATTACAACACATGAGGTGATAAACAGGTGCGCAGCTCAGCCCACCAACCCCGCGCTCACACTCTGGCCCCAGCATATGTAGCAGTCGCAACTAGTGTGCCATATTCTTCTTCAACCTTTGTTAATTTTGAACGCTTTTTGTTGTTGCTTTCGGTTGTTTTTGGCCGCAAGAAATGAAAGTTGTGTGTATTATAATGTATTTTCATACTACTGTTACTCAGCTGCCCCTTGCCCCTTGCCCCTGCCCCTGCCCCTGCCTCAGCCAGTTGCCCCTCTTCAGCTGGACTCATCTGCCGCAGGGCAGATGGGCAGATGGGCAGGTGGGCGTGTGGTTTATATTTTTTATGTTTTTGCGCGTGTGTGCGCCTTGAAATTACTTTTTCATATTCGTGACTTCATTGTTGTTGTGGCTGGGTGTTTCTATTATTATTATTATTATTGTTATTATGTAACATCAACTGCGATTTGTATCACAATGTGAGGTAATTAAATCAGAACACCAAGTGCAATGGGTCAGTGGGTGTGGCCCAGATCAAACAGTAATCATAATACCCATCCACCACACATAAGCAAAGGGTCAGGTCATAAAGAGTGAAAAGCAATCAAGTGATAAGCACGTTCTGCTGAGGGCAGGTGAAAATCTGCCGCACTTGGCTAACAATTAAATAGGGGAGAAAAAAAAGCGCCGACTGACTTTGCAATTGTGACACATTAGTCAACAATTTGAGCTCAGCAAAAGTGCAAATAAGCGCGCGCTTCAATTGCTCAAGTGAAATGAAAGAGAAATTACACGAAAAGCAAACAAAAACGGATACGAGCACCATCCGTCCGTCCGTCCGTCTATCCGTCCGAGATGTGCGATAAATGATGATGGTCTAGCGAGACGGCGATGGGGCTGGAGTTCGAGATGCATGCATGATGTATGGGTTGCTTGGCCTGCCGTCAGAGTCATCTTCACGCCTTGAGCACGCCGTTTAGCAGAAGAAAAAAAAAAACGAGAGTCAACAATTGCTGGGCTTTATTTTTATTACTTATTTTTTATTTTATTTTTGTTTTTTTGCACTGTCTTCCATTTCCATTTCCATTTCAAGGTGAATGCGTGCTGAGATATGCGACACCCTTAGACACTATCAACTGTCAGGCGGATCTGTGGCTTACGAAATGGCCGACTGAATCACTGTCATTATGCGGCATAGTCGAATGATGAGTGGCCAAGGGGGCGTATGAGTAATTCGTAATGCGTTACCACCATTTAATCAGCTTTCGTTGCAATAAGTGTGTGACGTCAATTGGTGTAACGGTAAAAAAAACAGTGTACAAAACTCTCAAATTGCTCGACAAATACCTGAGCCCACATTTCGTAACCAAAGCCGCATCACAAAACGGGGCGCAGCAGCCGTGCCGCTGGGGAGAAAAGCAACGCAAATCGGTTCATCAGCCATGTTGAAATTTCGATTTTCACCGGTCCGCAATCTCGTCACACATTCAAATGCAAATGAGTTCATCCACACACACACACACACACACACACACACACATGTAGACGTGCACACAATTACACACACCTGCACATCCGTTTACTCTAAATTATGTTGGTCCACGCACTGGACGCCATCAATCTGGCATGTGCCAACATGGCCAACAGTTAAAGCCACGAGCCATAAGCCGTAAGCTTTAAGCCGTGGCCATTCATGCGAAAAGCTGCCGGCCAAGTGTCGAGCGTCATTTTATGAATGAATTTCGCCTTAGCTGGAAAAAGCGTTGCCGCCCGCTCGACAGCTGCCACACGAGCTGCCACACTACTGTGGCTACAGTGTCCAATGGTCAATGGCGAATGGCGCATGGCCAATGGTCAATGCAGTCCAAAGCAAACAGATTGCCAAATGGCTTAACGCTCAACAAGAGGTGGCCATAAATTGTCTGTCTGCAACAGCACATTACATCAGCTATTACACACACACGCGCACACAACACACACACACACTGTCACATTCGTTAGCCGCAACTATTTTTTCGTTTCAGCCTTTCAGTCATTTATCAGAAATAAAGCCATTTTGCAAATGAATTTGTGAGATTATTCTTTATATATATTTAAACTCTGAATTGTTCAATTCATTCATTGTATATGCATAAAATAATTGCCATGCTTAATCTCAGCTAGTTGCTCTGCTCGAATGATTTACCTTTCCAAGTTATTGAGTTATCTTTTCAATTAAATCAAAATCTTTTATTTATTCAATGGCTTTGACTAATTTTCACTTCTTCAAATTTATTGTTTCTTTCGTATCAGTTTCTATGCACAATGAACAACAGCAAATTGTTTGTTTGCATTGTTGCCATTGAGCATATGAATATGTTTTCTATACATTCATTTAATATATGCAAATAGAACTTAATTGAAGCTCGTGTGTAAATGTTTGTAAAAATAGATTTAAAATCATTTCTTTTCCTGTATTACCATTTATTTGATAACTTAGATGCCTTTTTGTGTTTCAAGTATATTGACTTTTGGCATAAGGGGACTTTTAATCTACCTAGGGTCTTCGTAATGGAATGTCCTAGCAGACGCTTTGTTTTACCTTCATTTACTTTCAGCCTAATTCGCTTAAAATTTCTTACTGGAGTTGCATGCATTTGCCATAATATTAATAGTTGGTCAATTATTAGTATTTTGACAAAATCGCAAAATAAAATTGTTAAACAATTTATGTTTATTCAACAATTTTTTAAATTTATTCAATTAATAAATATATATACAAATATACATTTACAAAAAAAAAAAAAAAAAATTAAAAGGAATAAATTAAATGTAAAATTAAGATTCCACCTATAAAAAAATATAAATAAATAAATAAAAAATATGTATATAAAAATAAAATAAAATATAAAAAACATTTCCTGTAATATGTATTTTTTTTTTTAAATTTTATATAATTATAAATAAACTTTTATATACTTATGTATGCATATCTTTGTATTATGAATCAGATACGATACTTAAAATTTTGCTCGCTTGTGATGTATGCACCGCTGACAGTATCTGGGTAGTTAAGCTAGTTATTTATGGATAGGGGCCGGGATAGCATCTTGGCTGCTGATGTACTCTCATCGGTGTTCTCACTTTCATTTCGCTTGGCTTCGTTTCGGACCGCACAGTCATTTGTCAGGCGATGGAACGACGTGGTTCGATGGTGTTTTTTTTTTTTTTTTTTTTTTTTTACAGTTTTTGGCTCTTGCTGTTTCAACAAAGTATTTGAATTAAATTAAAGTTAAAATCTGTTTTTGGACGAGAAAGTTTTTTTTTACATTTAGCTTTTTGTGTTGTTTGGTTAATTTGCATAAGCAACAAAAGCGACTGTTAGAAACGGGGAAAATCTTTGCATTAGTAAACTCTGGCGACTAATTAGAAAAGATTTTCGTTTCAGTTGGCGTCGATGCTTATCGGCGGGGGCAAGAGGCTGTTAAATTAACGGTACCGCTAATGTACCGTGTCTTTGGCCAAATGACAGCTGCTGCCGCTGCGACAGAGGCTGAAGTAGCTATAGGGGCAGCGCACGAATCGCAGGTAAATAGTTTCAGGTGCGATCCAATTGGTATCACAAATTCACATTGTTTGCTGACATCTTTCTTCGGTATTTTGCCAATCAATTGCCACATTGTGCGTATGTGTGTGTGTCTGCGTGTGTGCGTGTGTGCGAAAGTGTGTGCAGAGTGTCCAGACATCAGAAATATTTCAGATCTCTTGTTGGTTTTGCATTAAATTTTTGTGCCGTTTGTTATTGAGGCCTCATGCAAAAAATATTTCTTGCTCGCCATGTAGGTGTGTTTACATAAATATCAAAAACAACAACAACAACCGCAATAATAATAATAATAAATACTGCTACCAGAACAACAACAAGAGTGACCAAAAATATATATGTATTTCAAAAAAGAAGAAGAAGAAGCAGCAGCAAAGCAACAAGAGCGAGGAGCAGCAACAATAGCAGAAGCAAAAATTTAATGAATAAATAACAACAATTTCTCGGAGAAAGTCGTGGTCAGAAGTAAGCCATATACAGCAGCCATAGCCTCGGATACACAATACCAAATAACAGATACAGATACCAAACACACAAAGACACAATTTGCATTCAGATGCCACGCGAAAAAAAAAAACAATAAAAACTCAAATTTTTAACTGAAATCGCGCCCGATGCTGAAGCTGATGATGATGTTTTCATTGCGGAACTATTCAATAATGGAAAGTGAAACGGAAGATGATGCAATAAGGGACTTCACGAAGTTCTGCAAATCATGAACAAATCCGAGCTCAATAGCAACAAAGTATGGTAAGTATTTTATATAAGTGACACTTTTTACTAGAATTTATAATTTTGTATTAAGGATTTTTAGCAATATTTAAATATATTTTTTTGCAATATATAGTCAAAAAGCTAAAAAAACATTTTAAGTTTCAGAATTAAATTAAAAACATATTTAATATTTTCTAGAATATTTCTCTAATTATCCCCCAAGTCTGTACTACGAACCACATTCTACACTCCAAATATATTCATAGTCTTATTAGCGCCTGCCTAGTTTGAATTCTCTCTACAATATGCTACAATAAATTCACCTATTATGATAGCAAAAATATTATTATTTTTCATAGCTAGACACTAAATGAAACAACAATATTTATAATAGTTCAAAAATGATTATTCTTCTTTAGTCAAAGCAAATATGTAAATTATTTTTTGGGTTTTCTAATTGGCTATGGGACAAAGCAGACTCAATCGCCCCCAGCACATCGAACAAAAATATTTGTAGCAAAAACAAAGACAATGTTTATGTGTGCCGACTAAATTGGCTCAAGAGAAACAAATATGCACAAAGCAAGGAATATTTTCATCAAAATCCCATTACGAACCAAAAAAAAAGAAAGAGAAGCACATCAAAGCAACTATACGCCTTATAAATATGTAATTAAAGATGAAAATTTCACAAGCCATAAACTCGGTTAGTAAACTTGAATCTCATTCGCCTTTTACGTTTATTTGAATTGTAAGTAAATTTGCATAATAATCAAAAATTATATATATAAGAGGCAAAAAAAAGAGCAGTCCGACCTGAAGCTGTGACAACAGACGTTCAGCGACGTTCCGTATAAAGAATTTGCGGTATTTGGGTTAAAAATTAATTTACATGTGAAACGGGCAGCTCAGCTCTGCCGCTACAGCTGTTCATCAGCAGGTGGGCTGACCAGCAGGAGGAGGAGGAGGAGGAGGAGCGGAGCGAACTTGTGGCGGAAGGAGGGGGCTCATCATTGAAAAGTGAAATTTGTGGAAGCTGTGACTGAAATGTAGGCTGCGTGACACTTTCAGTTAGCTTGGACGGTTCGGCTCTCGGTCATTTTCCAAGCTCATCGAACGACGATTAATCAGCTAATTTCTTTATGAACTTTCATTTATGCAGCAGCAGTAGCCGCAGCAGCAGCAGCAGTAGCAGAGCAACAGACTGAGGCAGAGACGGAGACAGAGACAGAGACAGAGGCAGAGGCAACAGCCGCATTCAGACACGTTGCTCTCATCTGTTCAGAGACTCGTATATTTTTATTGTCAACTGTGTGCGGCTGGCAGATTATGTGCAATAAAAAATCAAAAGCCGAAATTTAGAAAATCAATTTGGACTTCATTTCACTTGGCGTCGCAACGGAAACTTACATAAAAACGGCAGCAACTACCGCGTAATCATATAAAATATGGACATATGCATATCTATCAACTCGCATCATCATTTGTGTGTGTTTAGAGACAAAATGTTATAAACAAACAAATTCACTTTTTATGAACCTATTTTATAATTTAATTATGCGACGAAGACGCTAAACTGCAGCCGACGCCTGGCCAAAGTCGAACTCGACTCGAAATGCGAACGCGTTAAAAGCCGTTTAAAAGGGAAAGTTAACGGCGCTGCGGCGGCCACAGTCGAAGCCGCTGAGTCTGAGCCACAGCCAGTGCCAAGGTTCGTGGTGCGAGGTAGAGCATGTTGCGCTCTTCAAGATATCCCTGCCGTGAGCTTAACGGGTTTTTCAAGTGCCCCAGCCCGGACCAGACCGGACCGGCTTGGCTCGGCCTGGCTTTAATTGATATTGTGTAACAGAACGCACCGTGGCCAAAATAAATGTAGGTCTCTCTCATGGTAGTCATTTGTTGTTGCCCATGGCAGACAGTTGTTTTTGTTGTTTCTGTTGTTGTTTCTGTTGTTGTTGTTGGTGGTCGTGGTGCTGCTGCCGCTGTTGATCTCCAAAAAGAACCGTTGCGCTGCCAAAATAGAGTGAAAGTTGCCTGGCCAGCCAGCCGGGCCTGTATGCAAATCGAATTAACCAGATTCACCAGAAATCCAAATCCCAGATGAAATCTGTGACGCCGCCCAGAATGCAGCCAAAGCCTTGTTATGGCATGCCGCATGCGCATCTGTTGCAGCCAAAGCAGATAACACATCATCCAACAACTAACTGACAAATTAATGACACAGAGAACAAACAATGAACATGACAAAAAAACAAGAAGCTGCTCAAGTGACCTATGCCGACTACTGGGTGCTCTAGAAAAGTCGAGTTTATTGAAGGAGAGAAGAGATATAGTTGGAAATAGACAATATGATATTACCTCAGGTCTAATTTATGGAGGGATCTCATGATAACAATTAATATATTTAATTTACATTAAATATATAAATATCATAGAAATTATATATGTACTGCTTATATTTAATATATATTTAAATATACATACATAGTCATGAAATGCACTCAATACACGTTTACTCTTTGATCCCTTGAAAATATATTGCTTAGAGACAAAGAGATGAATAACTGAACAATGAGAATGAGCCAAACAGTCAGACAAAGCTGCCTCTTTCCAGTTTTCATATGCAATAGCAGACTTTATGATACCCTCACTATGCCATGCAGCATCTCGCTGTTAGATTTCTCACAGCAGGAGTTTAATTTATGGGTTCAAAAGAAGCTCGTAGACCAATAAATCAGCATTAAGGATGGCCTATACAAATTTATGAATATAAAGTTCAATCAACTGACAATTTGAAAATACCCTGCGAAAGGGTGTTAAGGCAAGCGCAGCTCGAGCTGAAGTGTGGCTGCTGTGAATAGGTTGACTGCTCGCTGCTCGCTGTAGTTGTTGCTGCTGGCAACACAATGCGAGCTGAACTAAAATAAACTTTCACCAATTTCATAAAGCGAAGAGCAGCAGCAACAGCAGCCGCAGCCTCAGCCTCAGCCTCAGCCTCAGCAGTTGAAGTAAACAAGACAAAACCATGTTGCGACAGTGGCAGCAACGAGTGTTAAACAAAGAACCAACTGGCAACGCATGCGGTGGCGGCCAGAGACTGCCCCTGTTCAGAGTGATTGAAAGAGATTCCCCTTGGGTTGCATATAAATTAAATTATAAGTTAAGTCAATTTAAATTAGTTACAGCTAGAAATACAAAACAAATACTGATGCACATTGCACTTGCAGCTCAGCGCTGCCAGGCCCTGTAGGCCAGGCGCTGCGGCTGCTGCTCCTGCTGCTGCTCCTCCACAATGGTTGCGGCACGACGGCGTCGCTTGTGATGATGTCCCTCGCCGGTCACATAGGAGATGCTGTGGCTGCTCTCGTGGCCCTGCTGGGAGGCTGATTTCAGCCCTAGAATGCCGGCCATCATGAGTGCTACCATGGCCACGCCCAGCGCCTTCATGGCCAAGGCTCCGATGCCGCCCAGGCCCAGCACAGCCATCATTTTGCCAAACATCAGTGCCATGGCCAGCAGCAGGCCCTGTCCTTTGTCCTTCTTGCGTGCCTCTGTGTAATCGAAAAGAAGACGAAGATGAAGCAGAATTAACATTGGAATTTATGAGTCCGAGCGGATGACAAAGCATAACTCTGCGTGTTCCATGTCTAGACTTTAGTTTAATGCCTTTTGTTTGCCACATTTGATGGTAAGGATACGAAAGGATCAAGTTACTGACGGGGAATTGAAATAAAGGTGAGCTCAGTTCAAAGTGGGAGAGATAATTTGCGCTTCAGAGGATATAGTTAAAAGGTTTGACAAATCAGTGGCAAAAGTCGAATTGAAGCTATTCTCATCATGATTATATATTGATGATGATTACAAATGATATTTTTAAATGTAGCTTTTCGACTTGAGCTTGGCATAAATATTTTAAGATGACTTTCGAAGTATCACTTTCATATCTTGTCGGGCTATCCTAAAAATAGGATGAATGGACTTGGCATCCATTTATTCCTTTCTTTACTTACGTTTCTCGAAAAGTATAGAAATCAAATGCAATAAGAAATATTTTAATGAAAACTGTTCAATATTAACCGAACTTTCTTCAACTTTAAATCAAACTTCAAATTGCCGCACAGCATAAATATTTATGAATTTTCATCAGAGCAGGGCTTAACTCGACTAGCTGTTATGAATCGGTGTTACTCCGCTCCGCTCCTTCGAATATTTAATAAAACCCCCCTCCCTTCCCCGTGAAGTGGATGGAAGTTAGTTCTTAAGTTCGTAAACACTTTTGCAACTTTTGCGAGAACTTTTTGTGGCACAGTTTTGAGGAAACTGCCGTAAAACTGAATGGCAACAAGTGTCATAATCCTATTAGAAACTTTTCCGACAAATTGAACAGGAAATGCAAATCATTTGCCCCGCTTTACGCACAACTTGCACCACATCACCCACCTGCCGCCGTTGCGCCACTGGGACTGGCCTCGTCCAGCAAATCGGCCAGCTTCAGGTTCAGCTCGTGCGTGCGCAGATACGTGGACAGACTGTCCAGCAGCGTGGCGTCCGCATCCGCGTTGGGGTCTGCTGTCGGCGGCGCCTCCACTTCGTTGGGCAGTGGGACTATCTCCAGGCCACGCACTATCACCAGGGGCTTGTCACTCTTGCTCAGATTGCGCAGCACATTCCGCATGGCGCGCTCGCCGCGGCAGAGCAGCGTGACAGGATCCTTGCTGCAGTTGTCCAGCTGGGCGCTGGCCAGGCACAGCAGGCTGAGCAGGCACAGTGGAGTGGCGTAGCGTGGAGGACACATGTCGCTCGAGTCTCGTTTGGTGTTCAACTGAAGGCCTTGACAATGCCATGGTCATACTTTATAGCCAACTATTCTGAGGCGCTTTCCCAAGGCCAGCGCATTGAAGCGAATTGTCACAATTGAAATGAATCGAAACAGAAGCTGAAAATGGCATAAAACAATAGCTCTGGAAATATACTTAAGTGGCAATGCTTTCTGTTTGCGTTGCGTTTTTCGCGTTTGCATTGCAATTTTCTTCTTCACTGGCCGCTGCAATTTTCAATTTTCAACGGTCAGTTGGCCAGCGAGCTGGTCGTGCGTCGCGCTCTGCTGCGTCCGGCGGCCACTTCACATGGCCCACAGCGGCAGTGGAAAAGTAAAATGAATTCGAAGCACGGCTCCCCACCAGCAAGATCTTAAAATTATACAAATTAGAGCTACTCAAAGTGCTACAGGTTTGTTCCTAGCGCACACCTAGCTATGATTACAAAGTGGCTCACACAATTGTCTACCAACTGGGCCTAAACGGCTCTATTAGCCCGCTGCGATGTGCGTGTCCCCATGCCGGACTAGAAAAGCGAAAGTTAGCTCAAATTTTGATTGCTTTGTCGAATGCTTTAAGCTGGTTAATAGTTGTATTTTTTGTATTTTTGTTTCTCACATAAGGCAAAAACAAATTTGAACCCATGACGACCTCTTTTATACCCTGAGCCTCACGCAACTGCTTAGAACGAGAGTAGGGTAACATGTTGCCACAGCGATGTACGTTAGAGGCAGAATAAGTCTCTTAACAGACCTATCTATCCACTCGTCTATTCCGTCTATATAGGAACTGAGGCAGATCAACTCGGACTTTCATAGAATTATCGGCAGAGATGTGGGGCTTAAAGAGAAAGCTTTTTCCATTTCGATTTTCAGTCTATACTGAAGATAATTAAGACAATATTAATGATAATAATACGATGATCAGATATGAAATCAAATATACATTTTCATTAAATATAGCAATTAGAAACTTCAATGGGCCACCTCAACTCTACTTAGGGTATCTTCTAGCTTAGTCAAGTTTTCCATCCATTAAATGTTGATCTCTTGGCCCTGTACTACCTCAAGCTTCTTCGGATCTATCGCATGCGTTTCATAAGCTGGCTAACACCTTTCGACTATTTTGTAATAGTGCACAATGTATTAATCAAATTGACGTGACTCCAGCCCGCAACGGCTACAATATTCCATCAAAAGAAATCAGCATCATGATGAACGGCATGATCACCATTATTATGATGACGATCGTCAGCAGCATCGAATGATGATCGACGTAGCTATTCACAAAAAGCAATAACTTTCACTCTCGATGTATTAATTTTTATATTTAACATATTGTTGTTCACAAAGCATACACACACACACATGCACACATCTGTGTGTATGCACATGCTTTATATTACGGGAAATTTGAAGCTACTCAAAAAAAAGAAGAAAAAAATTGTATACACATATATTTATTTGTATGTATGTATAGATATATATAGATATGGATTGTATCCGCAATAAAAACAAGTCAAGTCGAAACGTTATTGAACTGCGCTCGAGCCCCGCCGCATGTGAAGTCAACCAAAATTGATCTGAACTCGTTACGTTTGGCTTTTGTTGTTGTTGCTGTTGCTGTTGTTGTTGACGTTGACGGCAATAAAAAGAAAGTATCTACCAGCCACTCATCTACCCAGCAGCAGATCATCGAGGGGCAACAGCAGCAGCAGCAGCAGCACCATTTGTTGTCCAGCGGTGGAACCCGTTGCTCGGCTGCATGGAAAGCGTTCGACGGACCAAAAGTCCGATTCGTTTCATTTGAGTGTGCGACTATTGTGAATTCATTCACAGCACATTGTTATAGATTTAATTGTTGTAATTGTTGTTGTTGCTGCTTAGATCTGTATCGGCAACTTGTTATAATTGATTGTTGTGCACCATCATCATCATCATCATCATCAGTATCAGCATCAGCATCATACTCATTTCTATTAAAGTTTTCGTGGGTCCAGCTTGAATGAGCTGTGCACTGCATCTCCCTCTGATTGAGTGGCACTGCAACTAGTCCATTGCAACGTGGGTGGGTGGGGGCCACGGTGCAGTCAATGGACCATCCATCATGGTGAAACACTCTATTAGAGCGACTGGATGAATCGACAATAATAGTATTGTATGGCTGCAATTGTTATTCTGAACTTCTTTCAGCATTAATCACGCTTCACTTCCTTCAATGAAAAAGTTATCAAAGTGGTTAGCTTGATTTGAAAATACCGTGTATTTGCCTTAATTGAATATCAACTTATCTGAAAGTTGAGCAAAGAAAATATCTATTTTGTTCTGCGGTGCCATTTAATAATCTGCTAATGCTGCTGTATATTTAATCTATACCATTTAAATTTCATATCTTGAATAAGGGTAATGAACCAAACACACTTATATTAATTAAATTCATCTTTAGTTTTATATATAAATATATTTTCTTTGAAATATTGTTTGCTCCAATCAACTAAGTAATCCTTTGCTCTAAAGGAAGTCATCCTACTAAAAATATAAAGTGAGAATTGCCATGGATATTAATATTATTATTATACCGCTATTTTTGGCTCAAGCTTCTACCTCTTTGTTTTAAATTGTTTACAATATTTATTGTTAACAACTTTTTTATGCGCACTTTGAGCAAGGCGCTCTGAGAGTTTTCTCATGATAGCTCTAAAATTTTTAAAGTGCCTGATGAACTATCAAATACTCATTTAACTGTAAGTCCTACAATCAAATATTTTGTTTTATTTATACAAAGCCAATAGAGTATTAGGTAGAGACAGAGTGCATGTTTTCTAAACATTTGAGTTATTAATAATAAATATCTTCGACACAGGGATACCCTTTAAGGAATACGAACTATTAAGCTTTCAGTCTGCAGCTTCAAGGTTTTTTTTTTTTCTTTGTGTTGACTTAGGTTGGGTCCAGCCAACTGACTGTCTTCTTTAATTGTCTGGCATACTTTGATGGCAAAAGGTCGCATTCCGATTGCTCTCGCATTTGTTTTTTTACTTGACTGACTGACTTTAAATTTAATTTTCCAGAAAGTTTGAATCTGTAATAAAAAAAGTCTGGTCAATGTCCTCTTTGCATTCTGAACTTTGATTGTCTAAATCCAGTCTGATTGTTCACTTGCAGCTGATTAAGTTTCTCCCTCTGCATTTATATATGTCTATATATATTTAATCCCTAATTCCAAGCGCATTATTCTAAGTCGTATTGCTTAGTTGCTTAACGAGCAGAGAAGCAAATTGGAAATGGTTTTCATTGGTCTGCTTGTTTTTATAAAAGTTTTCATTTTGCGCGCATGTTTAGCTCTGGCAGACAAAATTCATAGTAAGCGCTTCTTGACTCGGCTGAACTCTGTCTGTTAAATCCGGCCATGTAAACGAAAATCTAAACATAAAGCAACATCCAGCTGCATTCTGATGTTGTGGCCGCCGCAAAGGCTGCCACAAACAAATACACGCCCCACAGTATGCAGTGCTTTGTAATGAAACCACAGTTCGCATTAGATTAACATACCACATTCGGTTTAATTACACATGTCGTGGCCGGAACGCCCATCTGATGGCGGAGCACAAACAGAGACAGAGCCGCCGGCTGGCTCCAACTGCAAAGTAATTCAAGTAATTCAAATTGCAAATTGAATTTGGAGCCGCTGTAGTGGGAGCTAGTGCTGGTGAAATCTAATGAAAATAAGCGAGTCACTTTAATTAGAAAACAATTAGATTAAAATAAATTAAACGAATCGCTGGGCGCAGGCAATCGATCTAGCAGCGGCGAAATATAAACAGCGAGCAGCACCACACGAACGCTCAACATTGGCGAAATTTGTGCCAGAGAAAATAAAACAAATATAACAACAACAGCATAACAGTATTTAGCTGCTCGACTCGCCCCAACGTCTGGCAGACTGCAAACAATTAAAGAAAAGATCAACAATTTTATTGCGAAAAAAGAAATGAAAAAAAACCCATATAAATAAATATTAAAGAAAATAATACAAATACAAATACAAATATATTAAATAAATTTAATTGGCGATTGCCATTTTCTGCTGTTTTTCTTCTTCTTTTTTGCATGTCTCAAGGCCATTCATTCGTTTGTCCCGCCACAGACATGCAACAGTATCGAACCAGAACTTCTCGTTGTTTCACGGCAGCAAAGTCTTTAATAATTGACGCACTATCAAAGCGATGCATTAATTATTCAATTTTCACTTTTGTTTTCGATTTTCGTAAGTCAAGCCTGAGGCCGATGAGAACGCTAAATTGACCTTAAAAAATTGAAAGCTTTGTGTGAACAACAATCAAAAACAGTCGGCGACAAAGAAAACAAGCTACAAACGAACTAATTTGAGGTGTATGCG